TACGTAAATAACTGCTTGAAGTCTCTTCATAATATTGCTAGTATTTTTCCAAAAACATTAAGGAATTAATTTAACAGTTTCTCAGTAAGTATTTATTTTTATTAAGTTTTTCAATAAATCAATAATACAATTTTCAATACACGGCGATATGGATAGGCAAATTAACTGCGCTATGTTAATTAGAATGTAATTTTGTTCAAACCGTTTTCTGCTTTTACATTACTTTCTTGGTGCCTTGTAATAACCAAGTTGTAACTAACTATACCATGAATTGACTATAGCTCAATTATCAAACCAAAATCTGCATAATTACCACGMTCACACACGATACGATCCACAAGACGAAGCTATGAATAATGCTTTAGTATTAGTTTACTTTTTATGTTATATTATTATTATTATAAACGACGAATTTTTCTTTTAACCAGTTAATATAATTTTATATTTGTATTATAAAGCTTAACTTTTTACCTTTTTATAATATTTATAATGATTATTTTTTTTTTAAACAATGGTTATTAATTTTATTAAATCTTATGATATTAAATATATATTAATATTAATTAATATACAATATTGATGGAATGACAAAGAAATTCACCTATATCATTATGTTATTTTTTTAAGAAACTAAATTCAATGACATTTATAACAATTATGTCAGATGTAGGAATAGGGGTGTTATGTTGATGAACATCAGGGAAAATTTGGTGGCATACAGTGAATGTTGTATATGTACAGATTTATTAGGATTATCCCTAATGCGATATCTTATGTACCATCCAGACATTAATTTAAGATGAGTTTGGAGATTACCAGACGTAGTTAAAGGATTTTCGTCAATTTATATGATGACTTTGTCATCTACATAGTCGGATGCAACAGTATTTTGATATGTAAGCTGATCTATGGTAAATATATTAAAGCATGTATTTAACACAAGTTTGTATGACAACGCTATAAGTACTAAAAACATATACTATCGTTAGTCCAATATTATGTCTAATATATTGTCTGACCTCGCATTTAAATATTTTGTACGATACCTAACCTAACCTACTTCGATTTTCGAAACTAGATTGTTAGTTTAAAATTATAAAATTTGATTTCAGTACATCAACATTTTCAACAATAAAAAAGTTTATATCGCCATTAGATATTCTTCAAGTGGCACAAGAATTCTCAAGAATTTGAATATATGGTCTTTGAGTATATTTAAAAATTCCAAAAATTCGATTTTGAATAAYTTCATTATTAAAGAAAAAAAGGGATGACACTTTTCTTGTATTAGATTTTGGTAGGAAGCGATAAGTGATGAATGCATTGGTTTTATAATATGTGTTTGTTATTCTTGGATTAGGAAAAGGGGTTGAAAGGCAATATAAATAATAAAAATATCACTTAAAACGTAAAAAAATTGAATTTTATGCATATGAAAAGCACTTAATGTACTACCGTAAACTTTGATTCAGATAAGTATCGATGGTTTGGACTTAAAACATTTCTATACATAGACCATCACCGRATGTTTGTCCAAATAAGAACAAAGCGTTAAAAAAAATATAAAATAAATATAGTCAAAGAATGAAGACTGTGGAATAATTAATAATCTATTCCATCAAATCGTATCCTTGTCTAAAAAACCTAAAAGTAATACATTGTAATGTTTTTGACTAAAAGTTGTTATTATTTACTAAAAATATTAAACTGTATTTTTTGTTTACGTAGGAATTACAATCATTCGAAAATGTTTCAGTCGTTGCAGATATGCTGAACTCAATTGCAGTAGAAGACAATTTGTATCTAATATACTTTGTACGTGAAAAAATTGATATCTTTACTATTGATATGAGTACAATTTTTTTCAATCTTAGTAATTGTGTAGAAATATATTCATAATATAATAATATAATAACAATAACTACATAATAAAGTAAAGTTTCAAAGTGTGTTTCGAAAATACATGCTTTATTGTTGTTATTTAATTTTAAAATATAAAATCATCGTCTAAATTATAGAAATACTGAAMTTGAGTCTAGACTGACTTATTTAATTATTTAGATTAKCCATCARGTAGTTTGTACTGTTAAATTTATACTTGATTCATTTTTACCAAAGTAAAATTATTTTCCTTTTTTAATTGTTAACTGATTGTTAACAACTTGATAGGTCGTATTATTTTAATTGTAGGTACTTTAATATTTTTAAATTAAAGAAGTTCAATAACTAGCAAATATATAGTTGTCTATTATTATTTTTATTATTATAAACTAGACACTTAAGTAACACAATTAAGCATGAGCTATTGGAATTTCTAATTTTATACATCATATTATATTATACTCAATATTTTATAGTATATATATACTATATACTATAACCACTATATATATATAAAGTGTTTATTTAAAATTATTTAAAACAATTGATAGAATAATAATATAAATATAATATGATTTATGACTGTAAATTGTGTGATGAGTACCTAACTCCAATGTGTACAATGTAGGTATAGCTAGGTAACTTACGTACATGCAATAATAGTATTTACCTACCTTATTTCTAGGTCTATACTAAATCGAGTTACAGTTACATTTAGTAAAAATAATGTAAGTATAACGTAGTTACTATATAAGCTATAATCCTATTTTTATGGTAAAATTAACTAATAATCTGTTCAATATATCATGTATATACATGTATTAACTTGCTGTTAATAGTTTGGATTTGGACAAAAATAATAATTATTAATGAACGCGATCSACTCAGTTATAACATTTAACAAGCGAAGATATAGATCGTGGAAACGCTTGCAAGTTATATATTTTTAGCGGCGATAATACGTGTAATCGTCGTGACCGTCACTGACACGTCACTGCCACRGTCATCCTGTTCCTCGGAGCAACTCTACTGGCCAATGTATTCACCGTCGTTGGGACACGCGTACGTAGACACGAGCTGTCGGAGGCCCAGACCGCGGTTCACCACATGTGGTACCGTCTTTTCGACCATGCTGCAAAAAAAATTAAAAATATCGACAATATTATAAGTTATAACTTATAACTATACCATTTAAGCCATCATATAGGACTAGGAGTGTTTAGCCAAGGATGCATATGGAATATTTAAAAAAACATAAAAATGTACATTCGTTGTCACGTATTATTTTTTTTTTAAACAAATTTTTATATTCATATTTAATTWWAAAAAAARAAAGTTAATCTTGGTGGTCCTTAAACCCTAATTTGAAGTAGCATTCTTATAGAATATTATTAAGGTGTGTAACTACATTCCTTACAAGCTCCGTGGTTCAATCTATAGGTTAATATTAGTATAGCGTATAATATCTTATATGATCCATTAAATGCACATCGGCCTAGTACCTAACTMACGGAAACTCTATAAATTTGTTTATACAAATCGCATAATATATTTTCAGCTTCGATACTGTATTAAACATGTTCATAGAGTTGTATTGTCATCAACAAAATATGAAAGAATATTAAAATTATGTAGAATTTGATATGAATAGATATTAATATTATCTAGTAATAGATACAAGATGATATAAATATATAATATGTAATATGCTAATATATTGGAAAACATACCTAATATGGGATAAATGATAAATCACGGGGTACGGGTATTAAATATTAGGGCAAATGTTCCTTAAATAACCGAATGTTCAATGTTATAAAAATATAAAATCATAAAGACAATTTGTTATAAAAAAAGTCACGATAGGTTGTTGATATAGGTAATTATATGTAGGTATACCTTTATATAGTAACAAATATAAAATGCATAAATATTTAACTCAAGTTTGAAGCATTAAACATTGGACACATACAAATAATTTAAAAATATTGAATTGATTCGCTATATTTTTTAAAATATTTATCTTATAAAATTATATTTATACGATTAAAAAATGTAGAAATATAGAATCGATTTTAAGATAGGTCTCGTAAAAATCTAATGCACATTGTAGAATATTACTACAATTTCCTAGCCACATTAATGATGTATTTAAGGTTTAACTAAATTAGGTTACAAAATTCATTGTTATTAATTATTATTAATGAACACAATAATAATTTGTACAATTTGTAATTTTTACATTTTTATTTCCCAGTTAAAATTTGAATATTGTTTTATATTTTTTTTAATAACATTTGTTAGCCCATACTACATACAATCTTTCTAGTGTGTTAYATACCRCCAATTACTCTGTGCATAATGAACATTTTTTAAAAACAATTCTCAAATTGATGACACTTTTAAACCAGGTGGATTCATTTAACATAAAACACATTGTAAGAAACCAAGTGGGTATTAATATGAGATATATTTATATCAATTTGTGGTTATAACACTGGTGCCAATTGCCATGGTACGTACYTGATGCAACCGGGAATTGGACACACCGTCAAGCACAACGTGCAGCCCGTACACGAGTCGGGTTGAACCTKWACAACATGTGATTTTGGGTCCATTGTAATCGCCTGATAACCGGAATCGTTGCAAGCCATGTAGCACTTGCCGCAGTTGATGCACGAATCCTAAATACAAAAAGCTTACACGATGAGTCACGCAATATAAAGCTAGCACAATCAATGTTAATTGTCGACTACAAATTGTGTGACGATAGAATACTCGAAAGCAGAAAATGAACCAATGAACAGGAACATAGAAATTAAGTTAACCCACGAGAAAATTTTCATCGTGGACTCACAAAACTGACTGAATACGCATATCAACCCAAGAAGAAAATTAGGTATATAATAATATTTCCACTTACAAATCGGTGAAGTTAGACCCTCCCCTATATCCTGTCTAGAATACACCATTCAAATAGTAAATTTAAAAGCTCTATATTAGATATGTAAGTAGTTATTAGTTGATTTTTGGAATTTTTAAGTACCTTTTCAAAGTTAAGTTGTATGCGGGCTAATGTATAGTTACCTCCTTCATATTATTAAGTTTATTTCGGTTACGACTTGGCTTCGAGAAACTTATGAATCCCAAAAAACCAACACAAAATCACTCACACATCTAGCTTAACAACTTAAGATTCTCCAAGTGTAACTTGATTAAAATTATGGGGAACATCACACGCATACTGACCTCGTTGACCAGCGCCACGACTTGTGCACGACGATCGAGCGATTTGTACGCACCAACGGTTTTCAGCGMGCGGCCCACAACCAGTTCCACTGGCGTCGATACTAGAGATGGAACTAGTCCGTCATCGGTCTCCTTCGTTGCCAGAACCGTTACCGCTAGTTCCGGCTTCTCATTGGGTACGTTCAACTTAAYCCCCGATCGGATGGATATGTCAGCTGCTGCACTGCACGCCTGTTCGCGGCGTTTTTCCTTCAGGTACGGTCCAAACATCGGTAAACCATCTCTTTTATCTGCCATCGCAGCTGCTGTCGAAAAGATATCATAGTCGTCGGACAGATCAATCGAGTCTTTAACCAGTGCGGCTGTTGGACGATGACTTCCCCCCTGTCGTTCTTTACTGCCAACACCATTCATGTACAACAACGCCTTGAGCCCGGTGATGTAGTCCTGGACAATTGTGAAGTCCTGGTTTTGGACAGCACTACAAACCTATGCGAAATGAAATAAAACTATTTACCGCACAGTCATAATATGATTGGATATCCGGTTTCTATGCCAGAATAGTGAAACTAGATACAATGATAACGGAGTTATAATGCGAATATAAATAAATAGCGCAAGCTAAAATATCTCAAGTAATGATAAAACAATTCAAGGCAAGAAAAGAAGTCTCATTTTTACGTAAACATATTATAACTATGGATGAGACAATGTTTTGTAAATCACAACTATTTTTTATTTTGATGTTTTAATAACGTTTAGTAAATATAATGAAATAATTAAACTATAACGCTGTTGGCTTCAAAATCCGTTTTTTAACCGACATGTCACTGCTGACATTAACTGGTATAATATCACGTATGAGTAGATCAGGTTCTTAGAGGTCTTCTCTGATTAAATTATTCAAGCCATGTACAATACTGCTCATCGTTTATATTTACTTCAAAAAACTTTTTTTTATAGGTTGTAAACTCACTAATAAATACGAGAAATCACTTATAAAACAAATATTAAATCTGACATTCTAAATCCTTTCAAAAATGTATCTATTTCGTTGCTTCATTTATATACGTCTTCTGTATTTTATCATTATGTACAAATTATGATGGGGATTTATAACACGTTACTCGTATTGTYATTTATACTTTTCTTAAAATAAATACTCCCGACGTTACCGTTTCTTAATAAATTGTCCTCAATTACTACCAATGATGTATTTTTCACTTATTTCATTTATCCAGAGTAAAAATCAATTAGTATTWGATTTTACAATTATAACTTTCGCTATTATAGTTTTCACCCTTTTTTATTTTGCGATTAACATTTCGCCATTGCAGCTTTCACTATGATGAATAACCGTCTCAACCACTAACATCTTATACCTGCACGACTTTAGCGCCACAGTACAAGTATTGGAGCGTGGCCGCAGCGCTATCYACTCCACCTGTGGCCATTATTTGAACAGGTGGTCCTCCATCACCGCCTGCTGATTTGTCTGGTCCTAAGGCACGGGACAACGCTGACACTGCCCGCAATCCCATCGGTCGGACTGCCGTGCCTGACATGCCACCGTATGTGGTTCTTGGTGTTTCCGCAGTGAGTCTGCCAACTCCCGGCCACGGTCGACCATCGTTACCGGTCACGTGCAACGGGCCGAGAGCCGAGACCGTGTTGACCGCAGTTACCCCGTCCGCTCCACCGAGTCGGACAGCTGCTCGAGCCACAGCCACCACGTCCGTCACGTTAGGTGTGATTTTTACAAACACGGGTACTGCCGTTGGCGTCCCACTATCACTGGCCGGTCGCACCGCCACCCGCTTGACCCATCGCGAAATATTCTCCACCAACACCGGATCCTACGTGGGACACACGAAGTAACCGATTTAATACAATTCGTTAAAATGCTATCCAAATTTAAATATATCTAGTATAGTCTCCGCTTAAAATTWAGTAATTTTGGTATTTACTAGACAAAACCGATTACAAAGCTGACTTTTATCACTAAACGATAATTAAAGTATGATACAGCACTTGCTTACAATTCTCGATAACAATACATGATTTTTAAAATTTATCAAYAATTATAATAAGCAGTGACCACTGTAGTTCATTTGGTTCAAAATATACCAATTATTAAACTTGAAAATGTTAAAGAAACATTTTTGTTTTATATTAGTAATTTGTAGGTATTCACWTTACAAGTGCAGTAAGTATACAATTTGTTTGTTTTTATTTATTACCACCAAAAATAGGAATTTTAAATTTAATAACATTTTTTTCCAAAAAATTCAAAATTTAATTTGCAATTTCAATTTTTAGAAAAAAAATTTTGGTCAAGACGTCAAGTACTTTATTTTTTTACTGTTTTTTAAAAATATTAATATTTTTTGTATCCAGTAAACGCATATTTTTGGAAATTTTTAGACATAACTTAAGTAAAACTAATTTTAAAAGTAAAAATTATTTTTCATCCATATAATTTTCATAGTTTTTTTTCGTTCATTTGACTAGTATCAGTTTTTATTTTTAATTCATCTTTATTTACATTTTTAATATTATAGTTTTGTATATGAAGTTAGTTGATAATAATTGCTTTTCCAGAATTAGCTTAGCATTTAGAAGGTTATCTAATATCGTTAACTGTTTTAAATTGTAAAATGTATTGCTTATTAATTGCATCAATTAATAAATACATAAATGTATACTAYCTATTGAAAACATTACAATAACGTTTTGTTTTATAAATTAAAATATGCTGATTTAATACCTGKCCGCACGCAAGACCCATCCCGGATTCACCCATGCCGTGAGGACAGCTCAAGTTCAACTCCAGCGCATCAGCACCTGCGTCGCACGCCAATCTGGCAAGTAGTGTCCAATCGCTCTCGATATACGCGCACATTATGCTGGCAATTAGGACCTGCAATGATGTAGTTTTGCACGTCAATGGCATTGTCATCATAATGACCGAAAAAATTAAAATCCGTCAAAAATAAACAGCATGATCACTCCTCTTTCAATAAAATGAATTCATTCAATATCTAACTTTTTGAATCTTTAGGTTTAAAAGACCATATTTAAAATTGTTTAGATTTTTGTTAATATCATTTATAGAACGAATCTATATCTTCTTATTTCAAATGATAAATGATTTTTTTTTTGTTAGTTATTAAGCAGATAGTTTTCTTTTAAATGTTAATTTAATTTAATCTACATGTATAAACTCTAAATCAAAATATATATCAGTATTCAGTAGTTTATAAGCTATTGCGATTTAAATTTGAACACAAAGCATACCTACATCTTCACARATAATATGAMAAAACTATAAAATATGTTAAATAYTGAATTGAGTTTTTATTATAGGTATCCTGACGAATTTTACAAACTATAAAATATTTTACTAATAYTATAACTACTATAATTTTCAAATCATCACAACTCCAATTTAGATATCTTCCAAATCTAGGGATTTAAAAGACTAGATCTACTAAACAATTTACAGAAAGAAATGTGTGTTTCACATTTGAAAGAGTTAAGTTGGTATAAGTTTGCACTACAAGGCACTCGTTAAATGGTACCTATAATCAATATCTAAATACGTAGTTGAAAATACGATTCTTAAGTGTACTTAAAAATTCTTCATATCAGAATTTGAATAAATACATCATCAAAGAAAAAGTCTAGTGATTACGCTTGGTTAATCACCGTGTACTGTAAATTKTTATTATACTCACGTGCTGTGGGAAGTCGCGTTTCAGTTCCTGAATGGAGCGTAACCAGTATGCGGCCGTCTTTTCAGAAATCAATTCTATGTTCAAAAAAGCGTTTCTAGCAACGTCTGGGTCTCCGGCACCAAGAGTACCTAGTCCTACACCACTGGCAGCCGAACCAACTCCTACACCATGGCTACCTAGTCCTACAATACGTGGTGACACGTTCGTTACCAAGTCCTTGTCCAGTCCGAATGTTTTGGTGACGGCAAACGCCCAACCAGCTTGAAACGCTCGGCGGATCATCGCAGCGCTCGTCGTGGGTGGTGCCGAAGCCAATCCAAATGGGTTCATGAACCGCAGTCCACACATCCGGACAGATAAGTCCACGTCGTCGATTGCTGTTCGGAATCCTGGCAACATTGGCCTCGAAACGGATGGTTGATGATTTTGGCTTCGGTAACCATATAACTCCTACATGAAAAAATAAATAATGACCATAAGACACAAAGRATTAGATTAAGTTGATGTGGCCATTGATTACATAAATAAAGGTAATATAATCATGTAGTGACCTAAACCATCATCACAAACTAGTGTGCAACAAGAGAGAATAGTAGGAGGCATTTTTGACAAAACCTATTTTTATTATCTAACTATAGTATAATAACTATAGCGTGGATTTCTATGCATTAAAAATTATTGAAATATGTCATATAATATGCAATAAAAATCAAGAAAATATGCAAAATATATGTAGGGAAAGTTATCAAAATATGCGTGAATTTTTTTTATTAATTTAAAATATATAAGTTAAACAAGTATTATAATTAATACAAAAAAATTTAAGGAAATTTCTGAAAACTCAATAAAATAATAAATAAAATAAATWAACTTAATTAACTTAATGTATATTTAAAATGTTATTAATTATTAAAATAAATAATCATATGCATTTCGAGTTTTTCTTATGCAAAACTGACATTTATTGGTTTACCTGCAGATACTGATGTATGTAATATGCAGCAGTTTTCCCGTCATTTGCTGACTCTACCGTAGTTTGTGATGGATCAGATTCAGATCCTATTGCGAAAGAAGCGTCACCACCACACCAAACCGGTGGAGGGGCGCGTAATGGTTCCTGTTTTTCATTATCCACTCTAGTATCATCAGCGTCCGTCCACCATTCACAGCGGCCGGTTTGAGCATCAACGCATACTCGCCCGGTGCGYCTGTCCACCCTTGCGTATGGCRCCAGGGCTGCTGCCACTGAATTTAGCAACAAAGAGACGTCCATACAATATACTCATTTAATGAAGTATACCTAATCACCTAATTATTTTTAATACCTACATCAACTCAACCCTTTCATGATGACATATTTAGAATTTTGTTTTGGGTGAGAATAGTATTAATACATATGACAATGTCACCCCAAATTTCCGAACATTATAGTAACTACATCAAGAATCCAATTGTTAGAAACTCACCTTCTTGTGGTAACCGCGAGCCGAACGCTGAGACAACGCAATCGGCGCGTAACACGAACAARTCATCAGCAGAGTGRTCTTCGTCGTCAGAGCAGCCCTGCAGCTGTTCTAGGTCATCCATGTCTGTTCTGCGGAACTGCACAGCTCGGATCCGATCAATATCACCACCAGGAGTTTTACGAAACAAAAACCGTACAGGCTGCGAATGTGGAACCAGTTCACAACGCTCACGCATCGCTCCTTCCAGTTCTTCCGGGACGGCACGCACGTCGGGCGTACCACGCCGGAAGACGATGCGGACGCGACGAGCGCCACATCTGAGCGCAGCCGTCGCACAGTCCATGGCCGTGTCGCCGGCACCCAGCACAAGTACGGTTTTGCCTCTGAAGTCTGGTGGCAGGGGCGAGTTGGCTGGCTTCAATAAGCCACAGCCACCGTCACCAGTACTTCCACCACAACCACCGCCACCACATCCTCCCCGGCCATCCGGCAACCTCTTGGAGTATCTTGAAGTCTGGCGCAACAGCCATTTAGATGTGTACACACCCAGATGTTGGGCGGAGGTCATCGTGCCACTGACGTCAACGTCACGGAAGAGATCAGCTGGAAGTTGAGGCTCCGGTAGGCCGACTGCTACGAAGACAGCCTGCGCGCCATCTGGTCCGTCTAATATGTCCTTGAGGATAATAAAATAATATACATATATATATACTTAAACTGTTGATCGAAAAACATTGATGACGACTGATTGCCRTTTTAACCATGATGCGTTAAAACGTTTTTATAAATGAATCACCAGATATATAAACATATTTTTCGTTGAGAGTTCCCGTATTTAGAGGACTGAAATATGCAGGATTTATAGGTTATACGAAACTGTTATTATTTTCCGTTGTAAGGAAATTTCTATCTTATGAAGGGAGAAGTGTTAAAGGAAGGTTCTACTATATAAGTTTAATATGTAGGTACGCACCTTTAACGTAATGTCACCAGGTCTACTGTCGCCGGAGGAGGAAGAAAATAGCCGACGACCATACTCTAGGTGAACACCACCTCGACCATGCTCGACCATCTGCTCGATTTCCCAACGGACAGCTCTCCACGGTAGCCGGTACTCTGGTATCTCAGAAGCACTATACATACATAACATGATATTTGATGCTATTATAATATTATAATAATAATGACACGATACAGTGTGATCTACAAATATGAAACGTTAATAACAACGAAAACTTAATAGATGCACTACCTAAAATCATCTCAAGTGATTATGTTTCCAATGTTGTTATTACTTTGACTTTGATACACATAGMATTACACGCATAGATCTATTATCACTAAGAATTTTGTTATTGCTCATAATAACATAATTATAATGAAAATTATAGCTTAAGGAATCAAAACTGTAGGTATAGTATAGTGGGATATTTTTCAATGCATGAATTGTATATAATAATGCACATTTCATACATTATTATTTTATAATTCGGTAAATATGATACATTGATACCATTATAGTATAAACTGATATTTGACTGCGGTAAAACTGATAATATGATAAACTGACTGAACTAGACTGTTTTGTTTTTAATATTTTTATACCTATTTATTACGTTTATATTTWTAGCATGAACATTTTTATTTATGCTATAGCTTAAATWTTTAAAATATTTTTTATCCACTTAATTTAATTCAATTAAAAATTATCATTAACTTATCCGGTCTTGTAAATTAAATATTTTGTTGTAAATATTAATTATTTTTCTATGAGCAATGTAATTATGATAAAATTTAAATTTAGAAAATAACATTTATATATAATATGTGTGATACATACGTACGTTATAATATGTACTTTGGTTGTGGTTTTAAAAATTGCAARAAATTATGGAAAAGTGAATCTTATGGTTTTGGCAAATAAATTAGCTTATTTATATAAGGCAAATAAGGTAATTCACTAATCTACGATTGATCGGAAAGGGAAAAGGTATACTTATGGCGGAAATCCATATACAGATTAGCTATATGAACTTACCTAAGACCACCGGCGTACAAACCCGATTCATAGACAGTTACGCATCGGTACCCAAGTCGGTTCAGGTACGTGGCGCACGTTAGTCCCGCCGGACCGGCGCCAACCACTGTTATGGGCGCAAATTTACTCTGGCCACGAGCTTTTAGCGGTTTATCTCCGCATTCCTCATCATCATTGTCATCGCTGTCCGATGAAACAGCTGAAGGAGGCACTGCCATGTCCATGAACACCTAAACGTGCACATAGATATATTAACTAGTAACGTTTTTCCATAATTTTATTACCTAAGTATTTATGTATTATTATATACGAGATAAAACAGGACTAAAAAAGCTACGTCATGTGTCATGTGACGTGAATGCGTGGTAACTATGGTTACAACTGGTTACCATATTGGTTTTAAATAAGTTGAGTCGTATTCAATTCTTGGTATTCTCAGTTTTAACTTGGTTATACCACCATACCAAAAGTTAAACGTCTAATCAGAATGTGGTTTGATCGATACGGCACGATACACAACGSAGCGGTGAATCCGAAATTGGGTTTCAGCGACGTGGGAAGTCAATAACGCTTTAACAGACGTACTTTTAACTGAAACTGTTTACTCTACCAAATAACGGACAAATATTAAACACACGCGTGGAATAATACAAAACTGCGAGRTGCCGTCATCTCAATATGGCCTAAGTTATAATTATATATTCATCGATAACAGCCTAACGCAAACAAAAGGGTCGTAAGTYTTGATAATTATAGTTGAACGAGATTAAGAGTGCACTACTAACGATAATCCTCTTTCGACCTCTATAAACCATGACTTGAGTAGAGGTTTTGAAGCATATAAAAAAATAAAAAACCATTTKAAATAAGGCAGTAAAGCTCCAAAATTCCGTTAAAAAATAACTATACCTATAAAATTGTTAAAAAAAAAATGTAAATTATTCATATTAATTAATGAAACTAGGTTAATATTTTTTATCAATGGTTAACCTGTAAATTTAAGAAACTGTTTAATATGRTTTACAAAAATTATAGTACTAAAATAATTTCCCTATTCCCTGTGAAAACGACTAGAGTTTTTTTTTCATGTTTCAAACTAAAAAACTAAAATTTTCGTAGACGATCAGACAATTTATGTTTAAATTTTGAAAAATTTTGTTCTAAACCAACTGATTAAGTTTGATTTTAGTTTTTAAATAAAATTGAAAAATAAAAAGACCATTACCCTATACTTTTTAAAATAATTAGTTTTATAGCTAGTATGTAAACTAAAATTGTTTAAAGCTCTAAGAAGTATTAAAAAAAAAAAAAAAATAGTTGAAGTGTAAGAGAGATGGGGGAAAAAAAAAAAAAAAACAGAAGATCTAAAATAAGTCAAAAATAAAAAGTAAGAACAGTCATTTACCACAATGGTATTAAAAGGCGTTCACAACTCTTGATCACGAGTGGGTTTTCGTGARGTTTTTTGTCGCTAAAGCTGGATTCTCACTATAATACMACGATGTCGTGTAATGTTAAAGAATATTATATTCTTACTTGAATGTAAAAAAAATATTGGTTTACTGTCAAGTTTCCTTGACAGTTTATTTTTATATTAAATACATTGATCAGAACATGGTGTAGTGGAAACTCGGTGTTAGTAACGAACTGACGAGTTACCTAAGTTGTGTTACCAGTCACGTACCTATTGAATAAACGGAACAGGACATTGAGTTCGCGCCTTTACTATTGTAGCTTTGAAAGTTAACTGGGAGACGATACCGAACCGTTAATTGGGACAATAGATCAATGGTATAGAAAGCACAATGCTTACTTCCAAACAAAATTGCTGCAGTCCACCAATGTTGATAGGTCCACCATCTGATCCGGCCAGATTGCAAGAACCAGCGCACAGTTCACTCGTTGGACACACCATGCCGCAAGACAAGCCCACCGGGTTATCCGACAGGATTGTYTTGGCGGCTCCATAATAGTTCTGTGGAATTTGCATTTCATGTTATACAATATTCTAATAATTTATCGTAATTTTAATATAATCCTCAAGTAAATAGTGATAACTATTAGCGATTTTCCAATTGCGGATAAGTTGAATAATTTTCCTAACTCATTAG